CTCTCCATGTCTGGAGTTGGCAGCATGGGAGGTGGCAGCCGCATCAGTGGCATGAGGGCTGGCAGTGTGTATGGGGGTGCAGGTGGCTCTGGGGTGCGCATCTCCAGTTCCAGTGCCTCCAGGTCCTTCTCTGCTGGTGGTGGTGGTGGATTCGGCTTCGGTGGAGGTGAAGGAGGAGGCTTTGGTGGAGGAGGCATGGCCATGTCTGAAGCAGCAGACAACATTGTCAGCGGGAAGTTCGCCATGCAGAACCAGAATAACCGTTTAGCCACCTACCTAGGCAAGGTGGCCACCCTGGAGAAAGCCAACGCTGATCTGGAGATGAAGATCCTCCTGTTTCTGGAGAGTAAGGTGTCTCCGGCTCCAACTGACTTCTCTGCTTTCTATACTATCATTGTTGACCTCCAGGTCAACCTTTTGTTTTGTGTGATATAGCAGTAATGTGTTCAATGTCCACTGTGTTGTTGGATTGGGGTTACGTGCACTGAGTTGTTGCTGATTCGACTTTTGGGTCTGTCGTGGCAGAGATGGACCATGTTACATATATTTGACTAGACAGCTGAAAATGCCTTTTTGCCCATCAAACCCAGAGTTGATGATGATGAGGAATATTTCAATAGAGCAGATAATCTATTGAAAGGGTTCATATTACATCTGATTGATTTATCTTGAATATGGGTGTTGGTAATTAATGTTGTTGTTCAGACTGAGGCGTAGGTCGTGCCAAGCAACACCACTTAAGAATGTTCACAAAATACCACCATGCCCCCTTGGGCCTTATTGCTTGTATAGTCATAACAATGACCTTTTCATTTCCTGGCTGCCATTCATCTGAAAGGAACTATTCTTCTGAGCATCGGAAATGCAGGACTGGCCCATGATGACTTCAGGGAGAAGTAGGTTTTCAAACCATATGTCGCCCATGTGATCATATCTCATCAGGACATTCATGTAAACGCATGCAGGTATTAATAAAATATAAACTATGGACAAATCTCAATAAACCTCCTATTATCATGACATTGAACACTTTAAATAAAATCATATGCATATGATGATGTACATGATGTTATGATTTGGATGGTATATTATATCTATGGTTATTGATAATAATAACCTATAATGACTTTGGCTTCTGAAAAGATGAAGAAAGATAACCTTGTTAAATACGATATGCAATAGGTCTCATATGATTTTGTTGAGTTTTATCTTACATGTTCAAATCTACTGAAGTGCTATGTACATGCTAATCAAGCTCAATTAGATTTGATGAGTTGTATGCAGTAAGGTGGAGTAGCACTCCCTCTGCTGGCTCAGGCTCTATAGTAGGAGAGTTCAGACACTGGATCAACTCCAGTCCCAGTTTCTCAAGTACAAGATCTTTTCATATACAGTACATTCGGAAAGTATTCAGACCCCCCACCCCCCATCAATCTACATACAATACCCCATAATGATAAAGCAAAAACGGCATTTGGGAAATCTCAGGGCTGACCTGGAGCGTCAGGGACACGAATACCAGATGCTGCTGGACATCGAGACCAGGCTGGAGATGGAGATCACGGAGTACAGGAGACCGCTGGATGGAGAGGGTAGCGTGAGGTGGGGGAAACAATTTCATTTCAAAAGTATGAATACAAGTTTTGAAGACCTGTTTGTGAATGTTTAATGTATCTATCTCTTCTCTTCCCATCTGCTACAAGACCATGGTGCTTGCCTACGGAGCGGTGAGGGGAACGGCACCTCCGTACCTTCAGGCTCTGATCAGTCCCTACACCCAAACGAGGGCATTGCGTTCATCCACCTCTGGCCTGCTGGCCCCCCTACCTCTGCGGAAGCACAGTTCCCGCTCCGCCCAGTCAAAACTGTTCGCTGCTCTGGCACCCCAATGGTGGAACAAGCTCCCTCACGACGCCAGGACAGCGGAGTCACTCAGCACCTTCCGGAGACACTTGAAACCCCACCTCTTTAAGGAATACCTGGGATAGGATAAAGCAATCTTGTAAAGTGGTTATCCCACTGGCTATAAGGTGAATGCACCAATTTGTAAGTCGCTCCGGATAAGAGCATCTGCTAAATTTCGTAAATGTAAATGTAAATGTTATTTGTCTATCAGCAGTGGAATGTTCTCCAGCATGACCAAGATGGTGAAAATAGTGGCCGGAGGGGCAAGTCTGAGGTGGGAAAATGTTTGAAGTGAAATAACACAGTAATAAAGGTTGTGATGCCCTGTGGTATTTGAATGTCAATGACTTACCTTGCTCTTATATGTTTTGTAGTAACAGCGGAATGTCCTCATCCTCCACCACAACCGTGATCACCACAATGGAGGATGGAGGGGCTAGTCTGGACCTGAGGTGGGGAAAGTGTTTGGACTTAAGAATTGATGATATGCTGTAGGTTTTGAAGCAGTGCAATATTTGAATGTCATTCATCTCTTTATCTCTTATTTGTCTTGCAGTAACATCGGTGGAAGTTCCTCCACCACAACCAAGACAGTGACTATGGTGGATGGAGGGGAATCCATGTGGTGAGAAAATATTTTAAATGAAATAACTAATGAAACAATATTTGAGATGAAAAATACAAGATATAGGTTTGTGACTCACCGTTTGTTTTGTAGCACTAGCAGCTCCACGGTGGTAACTGTGATAACGGAAGTGGTTGAGACGGTGAGGTGGTGTCATGCCATCCGGAGTCACACACCGACAAACTGAAATTGTCCACCCACACAGACAGTGTGGTGAAGAAGGTGCAACAGAGCCTCCTCAACTTCAGGAGGCTGAAGAAATTTGGCTTGGCACCTAAAACCCTCACAAACTTTTACAGACGCACAATTGAGAGCATCATGTTGGGCTGTATCACCACCTGGTACGGCAACTGCACCACCCACAACCGCAGGGCTCTCCAGAGGGTGGTGCGGTCTGCCGAACGCATTATCGGGGGCAAACTACCCGCCCTCCAAGACACATACAGCACCCGATGTCACAGGAAGGCCAAAAAGATCATCAAGGACATCAACCACCCGAGCCACTGCCTGTTCACCCTGCTATCATCCAGAAGGCGAGGTCAGTACAGGTGCATCAAAGCTGAGGCCGAGAGAATGAAAAACAGCTTCTATCACAAGGCCATCAGACTGTTAAATAGCCATCACTAGCACATTAGAGGCTGCTGCTGTCTATTGAAATCACTGGCCACTTTAAGAAATGTAACAATAGTCACTTTAATAATGTTTACATATCTTGCACTACATTTACATCTCATTTGTATACATGTATACTGCATTCTATTCTATAATATTATACTGTATTTTAGTCAATTTATGTATATTTTCTTAAATTCCATTCCTTACTAATATAATAATATCATGGATTCTTAGATATTACTTGTTAGATATTACGGCACTGTCGGAGCTAGAAGCACAAGCATTCCGCTACACCCGCTATAACATCTGCTAAACACGTGTATGTGACAAATAAAATTTGATTGATTTGAATGAGGTTTAGTCATGGCTAGGGTCAACCCAACTAAATCAACTTATCAAGCTATTCTCTATCTCTACAGCATTAATTCCATTCATTTTCAAGAGACAACCTGTTACATCTTAAAACATGAAGTGTGAGTTCTAGTGAATCTATTAAAAAGGTATAACACTCAGGAAGCATGATATATTAGCCTTAAAAGTCCATTCAAATTCAGCCAATGATATTGTGAACCTAACGACAATGTGCTGCTGGTGGTTGAATAATTAAAATGATCAAATGTAATCAAATCAAATGTCTGTGGTTACTGGTATCTTCATTCTGTAACTCTATAATGCCATAGCACTAGTGTGCAATAATAAAGTGCATGTTATAACTAAGAATTGTAAAAACAACCATGAAATCACATACCTAGCAGGGAAGTGATGGTAATCACAATAAACATAAAGGTGTGGGAGTCATCTTTTCTACAATGAAAATACTACAGTACCCATTGTTACTACATAACTTAATTTCCTATTACATACCCGGTACCTACCAGTGGAAACATTACTGTAAAATAGTGCTACCGGTATCTATACTACTTTCTCGGATCTGTACACTTTTATAATACGAGCATAGTGCCGATACAGTAGTGTGCAATTGCGGTACAACATTCAGTCTTAACTTGTTACCAATGTTCTAGTAAAGAGATTAATTTGCCCTTCTGGTATACAAGATCATCATTCAAGATCATAATTCAGGACCAAACAAAAGGAAAGAGAGATTGTGTTGCATTAGTTTCTTTAATAATGAATTCCAGTACATGGTTTAGGAATTACATGTTATCAATATGGGTGTACACAATGAGTGACTTTTCTGGAGGAAAGAAACTGGAATGGCACTCACTACAACACAGATCAGACGAGATACAACGTTTTCTATAAGTCCCCCAGTAACTTCACTGATCCCAACAAACAGACATTTGCATAATAGCAAATCAGTCAAGTTGACCCCCAAAGAACATAACACAAAAAGCACAAAAGGTATGAAAAACGTAAGAAAAGTGTAAGGAAAAACATATTTATATATAGTATTTATATAAAAAGAGAAGGAATAATACTTTGAAGAGGTTAAAGGTATTTAGCTACTATCAGTACTGCGGCTGCTGCTGCCGCCACTGCTGCTGGAGCTACTGCTGCTCATGTCTGATCTCTCTCTTTTGTGAATTTGCTCGTGTGCTTTGAGATGGCCTGACTGGCTGAAGTTCTTCCCACACTGGAGGCAGGCGAAAGGTCGCTCCCCAGTGTGGATTTGCTGGTGTGCTTTAAGATGTCCCAAACGGCCAAAGCTCTTACCACACTGTGTGCAGCCGAATGGCCTCACCCCGGAATGTATCTTCTCGTGCGTTTTGAGGACCCCCGAGTTGCTGAATGTCTTCCCGCACTGAGAGCAGCTGTACGGTTTCTCGCCTGTGTGAATCTGCAGGTGGTTGTGGTAGCTCATTTCCTTGGTGAAGCTCTTCCCGCAGTGTTGGCAGCAGAAAGGCCTCTCTCCGGTGTGGCTTAGCTGGTGGGCTTTGAGCTCCTTGGACTGCCCGAAGCTCTTCCCACACTGAAGGCAACAGAAGGGCTTCTCGCCGGTGTGTAGACGCTGGTGTGAGCGGAGGTCATCTGCTTTGGTGAAGCCCTTGGGGCAGTGGGCACAGATGTAGGGTTTCTGACCCGTGTGGATGAGCTGGTGCCTCTTCAGGTTCCCTGCCTGGCCGAAGCTCTTGCCGCACTGCGAGCAGGTATACGGCCTCTCTCCTGTGTGAATGCGCTGGTGTGTTTTGAGGTTCCCCAGAGTGCTGAAATTCTTCCCACACTGGGTGCAAGAGAAAGGCTTCTCACCACTGAGGTTACGAGGTTTGCGTGGGGTTGTGCTATGCCCTTTCGTGCTTGTGTGGCCTGAGCCTTTGCCAGCCTGGGCGGACTGCAGCTCGTAGAGGCCTCCTGCGCCAGGGAACTCATTGTCTAGCCTATGGCCTTCCATGACCCCGTCATGGCTGAGCTTGTTTAGCTCGGTCCGCAGCTCGGCCATGTGGATGGACTCGAGGCTCATCTCTGTCTTGATGTGGCTGGACATCAGGTTGGGCTCGTACTCAGTCTTCATGGCCCCGAGCTCGGTGGTATAATAACACTGCAGGTCGGCGTGCTGCTCCGACTTTATGTAGTCCAGGCTGTCGGACACGTGGGTGATGTAGTCGAACACCAGGCTGGGCTCGTAGTGAGACTTCATAGAATATGAGTCGCTCTCGTACTCTGAGCTGTGGAAGCAGTGGAGGCCGTGGACGTGGTGCTCAGACTTGATGTAGTCCAGCCCACTGATCTCCATCTTGATCTGTTCGTGGCCCAGCTCCGCCGTGCTCAGAGGCTGGATCTCTGACAGGTCCACAGTGCGGATGGGGTCCAGGTCATCTGCGGGCTCAGTCTTAACGCAGGGCAGCATGACCATGGGCTCTGCGATCTCTGCCGCCAGCGTGCCGAGCGTGGGCGTGCTGCAGTCGGACGAGAGCAGGTGGAGGGTTGGCGAGGTGCACTCAGGCCGAAGTGGATCCAGCGGCGGCGAGCCACACTCTGATGCATGCAGCGTGTCGAGTCCTAGCGTGATGCACTCGGTCTCTAACTCTGCCATGGCTGCAGAGTCCTTATGCACCCGTCTCCAGTTAGTCCCGTAATGGATCAGAGAATAGTACTACTTTGCCCTGAAAAGAGCCTTGGTCCACTTGAGTGTCCCTCTGACAGTACAGCTTGTTCTGATGCCAAGCCTTCTTCCTTGGGTTAGGAGCAACACCTATCTTTGAAGCCCCTGGAATGAAAGAAGACAATGGATATGAGATAATTCAGTTTAAAAAATGTAACCTATTGTCTTTTAATGGCCTCAATTCAATTAGAATATAGCAGGGGTAATGTAACTGGTAGGCCTTGTTGGGAAAGTAATAATAACATTTTTTAAATAGGTCTGTCAACTCATAATAACATTGGCTTATAATTACACAAATAAAACATGACTAAAAAGATAAACTACACATTGCTACACTGACTCACACAATAACTAGTGACAAGCAAGTTATATGTATAGGAAACACACACAGATGTGCAATGACAATAGAGATGTACAAACTTTGACAACTGTGTTTTGTATTTTGACTACTAACATTCTAGAAAAATGAAGTAGGCCTTATCTTGAAAAGTTTTAATGATGGCTGGTGAGAAGTTCGCAGCCAAACGTCCTGAAATAGTTTTGGCTACTTCTAACTTCACAACATTCATGCTCATCAATTCGATGACTATACAATAACTCGCCTTGAAATCTAAATATCACATGCTACCAAAATTAAGGACTTTAATGTAAGCTTCAACATGAGTGTTCATGCATTACCTGCATGTTCTGACCAGCTAGGTAGCATGCCAAACCCGCCACGCACATCATGCACTAGTCGGCTGCAAGAATCTGGCGGTGATTATTTTTTTCACCCAGTTGGCTGAGGATGGCTATAAGCAAGCTATTGGGTGACATATGAAGCGCTTACAACCAGAAATAACTTTTCGGAGGGAGGATTTTTTTCACCGGCCAACTCTTTGCATAATTTTTAAAAGGCATTTTTCAGTTTACCAGCTGACTACTATCATACAAAGACAGGGCAAAATGCCATTCCTAGCTAGCTAGCCAGCCAGCCAGTGGCCATCTTGTTTATCGCTAACGTCGATGCTGCGAATTAGCTTTACAGATGCGCCTAGTTAGCTCGATGACATGTAGCTAGGAAGGAAAGAAAGTAAGACGGCTATACTGTACTGTTACTAGCTACTACTTTTTTATTAACTTTGAGCGTGCATCCTGTACCCTTGCAGGTAGTACTAGGCAAGTGTCGTTAAACTAAATAAATTGTGTCGAATTACGAAACCTGTGCTGGGCCATGACATTCACACACTGGCATATGAGAAAGAGGTGGAAAAAGAAGGAAATCAGTATTTTTAAAAAAAACTGCAAGCTAGCAATAGCTACCTGCGGTTTCTCCGATTCATGGCTTTTTTAGCCTTCGGCTCGCCGTCGCCACAGTTGCTTGGCTTCAAACTGAACCGGACCCGCCACGTCCACCTCTACCGAGCAACCCTGCAGCCTCCGTATTGCTTTCTCTCCTTTCTTTTCCTTACTCGCTCTCTCCTCTCCTCTCCTCTCCTTCCTCTCTCTCTCATTGACTAATTCTGCTTCGTTTTCACTCCCTTGTCGCTTTTCCTCTATGTTTCTGCTGTGCACTTCCGTCGTCTGATGTAAATGCGCGCGCAGCATGCATTCATCTCGCGTCACATCAAATCAGAGGCAACATTGTATCATTTTCTCCACTGATCTATGGACTCAGCTCGTAAATCAATCAGAGTATTGTCAAAGACCAGACACCCCGCCCTGTCAGAGACCACTCTTGTAAATCGTCCAGGCTACATCATAGGCCAGTCTAGTGCTTGCAAAAACATCATTACAGACATAAAGCCAGTAACTGAACTAAAAAGTAACGTCTTTGATTTTACTTTCCAATAACGTATACATAACATATTTTAACTATTCATGTAACTTCACATAAACTCAAAGTATACCAGTTGTTCAATTTTGTCTAACTTGCACTTGTTGTCGCAGTATTTCTCTCTATTTCTACTTCTCTCCACTATGTATTGTTCAAACTCTCCGGATGTATATACCCATGGTAAATAAAAGCAACACATGACCAAATGTTTACATTACATAGACATATTAAAGTTGGTACTAATAACTGGGTCCCGGATTTGAGGCAGAATCTGATGCACCTTTTTCTTGTTTCAGCACCTGGACCAGCCTTAAATGTCTACACACATCCCTGCTGAGAGGACAAACACAAAGACCCCCACTGACGCCAGGTACTCTAAAATCACGAGACTCAGACATGAGGCACTTTTCATGAGTTTAACCTGCTTGGCTTGTATTGGCAATATAAGGTGCACAACCAATCAATGACATTACCTGATCAATTACTGTAAGTGCCAGGGAGAAAAGAAGGATCAGCAGGACTGTGGCCCTCGAGGATTGCAGTTGTGCACTTCTAATTTAAATCCATGTAAATAATATGATTCTCTGTATCCTGACCTGACATATAGCAACACTTGATATAGCCTACAGTAAAATAGCCTGCTGCCATGAGACAATGCAGAATGAGAGAAACTATCATTTTAACAAAATATAAATGTTCAATACAGTATTGTACCATGGCATGATTTAAAGCAGCGATTCTCAACTGGTGGGTTGCGACCCAAATTTGGGTCGCAGGAGGTTTCAAATGGGTCTTGGGTGTCTGAGTCAAAAAAAAACGTTTTTAAAAGTATGTATACACTACCGGTCAAAAGTTTTAGAACACCTACTCATTCAAGGGTTTTCTACATTGTAGAATAATTGTGAAGACATCAAAACTATGAAATAAAATGTCAATGTAAATATGGAATCATGTAGTAACCAAAAAATAGTTAAACAAATCAAAGTATATTTTATATTTGAGATTCTTCAAATAGCCACCCTTTGCCTTGATGACAGCTTTGTATGCTCTTGGCATTCTCTCAACCAGCTTCACCTGGAATGCTTTTCCAACAGTTTTGAAGGAGTTCCCACATATGCTGAGCACTTGCTGGCTGCTTTTCCTTCACTCTGCAGTCCGACTCATCCCAAACCATCTCAATTTGGTTGAGGTCGGGGGATTGTGGAGGCCAGGTCATCTGATGCAGCACTCCATCACTCTCCTTCTTGGTCAAATAGCCCTTACACTGATCGAACATCTTCATTGATCAAACATGTCTGTCTGAGCCTCAGGTCACCTTTAGAAACATAATGCCTCCCCAAATAGAGTTGAATAAGGATTCAGTTGTATAAGAAGCCTACATTGCAACACTATTGTAATTGTATTGTATACTGTCTACCTTTGGAAACCTACTTTATAAACCTGAGCTCTTTAATAACTGACAATTGAGCAGTTTTAAGAGCTCCCATCTGATTAACCCAAGTGAAAAATAAATATATGTAAATAAACTTAAATCATACTTCATTAATATATTTGAATATATTTAAGTAGGTGTGTGATAAATATACTTAAGTACACTACCGGTCAAAAGTTTTAGAACACCTACTCATTCAAGGGTTTTTCTTTATTTTCTACTATTTTCTACATTGTAGAATAGTAGTGAAGACATCTAAACTATAAATAACCCATATGGAATCATGTAGTAACCAAAAAAGTGTTAAACAAATCAAAATATATTTGAGATTCTTCAAATAGCGAACCTTGGCCTTGAAGATAGCTTTGCACGCTCTTGGTATTCTCTCAACCAGCTTCAATTGGAATGCTTTTCCAACAGTCTTGAAGTTCCCACATATGCTGAGTACTTGTTGGCTGCTTTTCCTTCACTCTGCGTTCCGACTCATCCCAAACCATCTCAATTTGGTTGAGGTCGGGGATTGTGGAGGCCAGGTGATCTGATGCAGCACTCCACTCTCCTTCTTGGTCAAATAGCCCTTACACAGCCTGGAGGTGTGTTGGGTCATTGTCCTGTTGAAAAACAAATGATAGTTCCACTAAGCCCAAACCAGATGGGATGGCGTATCGCTGCAGAATACTGTGGTAGCCATGCTGGTTAAGTGTGCCTTGAATTCTAAATAAATCACTGACAGTGTCACCAGCAAAGCACCCCCACACCATAACACCTCCTCCTCCATGCTTTACGGTGGGAAATACACATGCAGAGATCATCCGTTCACCCACACCGTGTCTCACAAAGACACGGCGGTTGGAACCAAAAATCTCCAATTTGGACTCCAGACCAAAGGACTTTTAAGAAGGCACACCTGTTAATTGAAATGCATTCCTCATGAAGCTGGTTGAGATAATGCCAAGAGTGTGCAAAGCTGTCATCAAGGCAAAGGGTGGCTATTTGAAGAATCTCAAATATAAAATATATTTGATTTGTTTAACACTTTTTTTGGTTACTAAATTATTCCATATGTGTTATTTCATAGTTTTGATGTCTTCACTATTATTCTACAATGTAGAAAATAGTAAAAATAAAGAAAAACCCTTGAATGATTAGGTGTTCTAAAACTTTTGACCAGTAGTGTATATATTATTTTAAATGAAAAATACTCCAGTCTGAACATAAACAACTTAAACCAGGTAGAAAGTGTGTAGAAATTATAATGAACTTGCATTTTTAAATATTTTAATCTGTGAACAATTTTTCTTCAATTACAGTATTTTAAATATAGAGCTATTAGCAGCACTATTTTGGTTGATTTTGTGGTCTCAAACCAGTGAATCTATTATTATTCTTCATCCAGCATATGGACAAAATCTAATTATTGACAATGAAAGAGGTGGGAATGTTGTTCCCTTGTCATATACAGTGGGGGAAAAAAGTATTTAGTCAGCCACCAATTGTGCAAGTTCTCCCACTTAAAAAGATGAGAGAGGCCTGTAATTTTCATCATAGGTACACATCAACTATGACAGACAAAATGAGAATTATTTTCTCCAGAAAATCACATTGTAGGATTTTTAATGAATTTATTTGCAAATTATGGTGGAAAATAAGTATTTGGTCAATAACAAAAGTTTCTCAATACTTTGTTATATACCCTTTGTTGGCAATGACACAGGTCAAACGTTTTCTGTAAGTCTTCACAAGGTTTTCATGATTTTCCACTTACCTTGGCTGTTATTGATTCACCAAGACAGTTTTTGTACATACACTGCATTCATACTTTTTCCACATTTTGTTACGTTACAGCCTTATTCTAAAATTGATTCAGTAAAAAATTTTCCTCATCAATCTATACACAATACCCAATAATTACAAAGCGAAAACAGGTTTTTTCAAATGTTCACAAATGTATTAAAAATACAAAACAGAAATACATTATTTACATAGGTATTCAGACCCTTTGCTATGAGACTCGAAATTGAGCTCAGGTGCATCCTGTTTCCATTGATCATCCTTGAGATGTTTCTACAACTTGATTGGAGTCCACCTGTGGTAAATACAATTGATTGAATATGAATTGGTAAGGAACACACCTGTATACAGTGGGGAAAAAAAGTATTTAGTCAGCCACCAATTGTGCAAGTTCTCCCACTTAAAAATATGAGAGAGGCCTGTAATTTTCATCATAGGTACACGTCAACTATGACAGACAAAATGAGAAAATAAAATCCCGAAAATCACATTGTAGGATTTTTAATGAATTTATTTGCAAATTATGGTGCAAAATAAGTATTTGGTCAATAACAAAAGTTTCTCAATACTTTGTTATATACCCTTTGTTGGCAATGACACAGGTCAAACGTTTTCTGTAAGTCTTCACAAGGTTTTCACACACTGTTGCTGGTATTTTGGCCCATTCCTCCATGCAGATCTCCTCTAGAGCAATGATGTTTTGGGGTTGTCGCTGGGCAACACAGACTTTCCAACTCCCTCCAAAGATTTTCTACGGGGTTGAGATCTGGAGACTGGCTAGGCCACTCCAGGACCTTGAAATGCTTCTTACGAAGCCACTCCTTCGTTGCCCGGGCGGTGTGTTTGGGATAATTGTCATGCTGAAAGACCCAGCCACGTTTCATCTTCAATGCCCTTGCTGATGGAAGGAGGTTTTCACTCAAAATCTCACGATACATGGCCCCATTCATTCTTTCCTTTACACGGATCTGTAGTCCTGGTCCCTTTGCAGAAAAACAGCTCCAAAGCATGATGTTTCCACCCCCATGCTTCACAGTAGGTATGGTGTTCTTTGGATGCAACTCAGCATTCTTTGTCCTCCAAACACGACGAGTTGAGTTTTTACCAAAAAGTTATATTTTGGTTTCATCTGACCATATGACATTCTCCCAATCCTCTTCTGGATCATCCAAATGCACTCTAGCAAACTTCAGACGGGCCTGGACATGTACTGGCTTAAGCAGGGGGACACGTCTGGCACTGCAGGATTTGAGTCCCTGGCGGCATAGTGTGTTACTGATGTTAGGCTTTGTTACTTTGATCCCAGCTCTCTGCAGGTCATTCACTAGGTCCCCCCGTGTGGTTCTGGGATTTATGCTCACCGTTCTTGTGATCATTTTGACCCCACGGGTGAGATCTTGCGTGGAGCCCCAGATCGAGGGAGATTATCAGTGGTCTTGAATGTCTTCCATTTCCTAATAATTGCTCCCACAGTTGATTTCTTCAAACCAAGCTGCTTACCTATTGCAGATTCAGTCTTCCCAGCCTGGTGCAGGTCTACAATTTTGTTTCTGGTGTCCTTTGACAGCTCTTTGGTCTTGGCCATAGTGGAGTTTGGAGTGTGACTGTTTGAGGTTGTGGACAGGTGTCTTTTATACTGATAACAAGTTCAAACAGGTGCCATTAATACAGGTAACGAGTGGAGGACAGAGGAGCCTCTTAAAGAAGAAGTTACAGGTCTGTGAGAGCCAGAAATCTTGCTTGTTTGTAGGTGACCAAATACTTATTTTCCACCATAATTTGCAAATAAATTCATTAGAAATCCTACAATGTGATTTTCTGGATTTTTTTCTCTCTCAATTTGTCTGTCATAGTTGACGTGTACCTATGATGAAAATTACAGGCCTCTCATCTTTTTAAGTGGGAGAACTTGCACAATTGGTGGCTGACTAAATACTTTTTTCCCCCACTGTAATTGCTACATTTACCATCAATTTAGCATTAAACATAGTTTTACAGATTGTATTTTGGTGATTCTTTTTCGCAATGCGAATATTGAGACAACCTGGTTGAGAACCACTGATTTAAAGGGATAGTCTACTCAAAATACAACAATAACATGATTTTCCACTTACCTTGGCTGTTATTGATTCACCAAGACAGTTTTTGTACATACACTGCATTCATACTTTTTCCACATTTTGTTACGTTACAGCCTCATTCTAAAATTGATTCAGTAAAAAATGTTCCTCATCAATCTATACACAATACCCAATAATTACAAAACGAAAACAGGTTTTTTCAAATGTTCACAAATGTATTAAAAATACAAAACAGAAATACATTATTTACATAGGTATTCAGACCCTTTGCTATGAGACTCGAAATTGAGCTCAGGTGCATCCTGTTTCCATTGATCATCCTTGAGATGTTTCTACAACTTGATTGGAGTCCACCTGTGGTAAATACAATTGATTGGATATGAATTGGTAAGGCACACACCTGTATATATAAGGTCCCACAGTTGACAGCGCATGTCAGAGCAAAAACCAAGCCATGAGGTCAAAGGAATTGTCCGTAGAGCTCCGAGACAGGATTGTGTCGAAGGCACAGATCTGGGGAAGGGTACCAAAACATTTCTGCAGCATTGAAGGTCCACAAGAACACAGTGGCCTCCATCATTCTTAAATGGAATAAGTTTTGAACCACCAAGACTCTTCCTAGAGTTGGCCGCCCGGCCAAACTGAGCAATCTGGGAGAAGGGCCTTGTTCAGGGAGGTGACCAAGAACCCGATGGTCACTATGACAGAGCTCCAGAGTTCCTCTGTGGAGATGGGAGAACATCCCAGAAGGACAACCATCTATCTCTGCAGCACTCCACCAATCAGGCCTTTACGATAGAGTGGCCAGACGGTAGTCACTCCTCAGTAAAAGGCACAGGACAGCCCGCTTGGAGTTCGCCAAATGTCACCTAAAGGTCTCTCAGACCATGAGAAACAAGATTCTCTGGTCTGATGAAACCAAGATTGAACTCATTGGCCTGAATGCCAAGTGTCACGTCTGGAGGAAACCTGGCACAATCCCTACGGTGAAGCATGGTGTTGGCAGCATCATGCTGTGGGGATGTTTTTCAGCGGCAGGGACTGGGAGACTAGTCAGGATCGGGGGGAAAAATGAACAGAGCAAAGTACAGAGAGATCCTTGATGAAAACCTGCTCCAGAGCGCTCTGGACCTCAGACTGGGGCGAAGGTTCACCTTCCAACAGGACAACGACCCTAAGCACACAGCCAAGACAACGCAGGAGTGGCTTCGGTACAAGTCTCTGAATGTCCTTGAGTGGCCCAGCGAGAGCCCAGACTTGAACCCGATCGAACATCTCTGGACAGACCTGAAAATAGCTGTGCAGCGACGCTCCCCATCCAACCTGACAGAGCTTCAGAGGATCTGCAGAGAAGAATGGGAGAAACTCCCCAAATACAGGTGTGCCAAGCTTGTAGCATCATACCTATGAAGACTCAAGGCTGTAATTGTTGCCAAAGGTGCTTCAAGAAAGTACTGAGTAAAGGGTCTGAATACTTATGTAAATGTTATATTTCAGTTTTTTATTTGTAAGAAATGTGCCAAAAAAATTGGCTTTGTCATTATGGTGGAAAAAAACTATTTAATCCATTTTAGAATACGTTTGTAACGTAAAAATATGTGGGAAAAGTGAAGTGGTCTGAATACTTTCCGAATGCAGTGTACCAGTGGCGGTCAGTGCCGTTTCAGATGAGGGGGAACAATTCTTTTTTCATGAGTATGGCCTTATTTCTATTACAGGATGACTGTCATTCATATTCCATTCACCCAGTTAAATGTAACAGCGATAGGTTTAGGCTACTACATGATACTCAAATTTCCCCTATACCCATCATGAGGTTGCTACAACCTAGCCTATGAATGAAAGTTTACAACGTAGGTGCACATAGGTCGAGAGACAAATTATGTGACAGATAGTGACACATGGACAGACAGTGACATTCAATACCGCCTTGCACGCTCTTGCCTGCATCTAGCTGATAGTGGGTGTAATCATTAGTCCAACAGTTGCAAATTAGAGTTTCTATTGGACAAATTCAGGTATGTTTATCCCCATTTTGTTCCATTTGCTTCCGTTTAATAAATGTTTTTCAACAGAATTGGCGGAATGAATACACCCCTGATCACGCGTAAACACAGTTTCATAGCAGCCACGTTTTATTCTTTCTCGCATCTACATTATGTGCTCTCCTCCTTTCACCTCTTCCCTTCGCTTGTGGACTTCAGTGCACAACAAATCAGCTGTACGTGACCAGGCGAAAAAACCTTTCCAAGCCAAACCGCTACACACAGCCTACATTGTTGTCACTATATTAGTCAGCATAGCTAATAGAACTAACGCGTTAGTAAATCAGCTACAATCATGCAGTAACGTTACAGTGTACAGTCAGTAAGCAGTTACACCGGCGGGCCCGATGGCAATACATTAGTTAAACCAAAAGCTTACCTTGACTTGGAAGAGTTCCAGTGTTGTGTTGGATAGTCATAGCCAGCTAGCTACCATAGCATCCCTCTGTTTGAGCAGGGTGTTTCAGTAGGCTAAACTAGCTAGCTGCATTTGCTAGCTTAGTAAGTGAAACTTCCCCTCCCTTTAGGAATATATATATTTTTTTTTTAACTGTTCAACTATTTTCTTTTTCTCTTTGCGTCAACTACTCATCATATTTTATGCACTGCAGTGCTAGCTAGCTGTAGCTTATGCTTTCAGTACTAGATTCATTCTCTGATCCTTTGATTGGGTGGACAACATGTCAGTTCATGCTGCAAGAGCTCTGATAGGTTGGAGGACGTCCTCCGGAAGTTGTCATAATTACTGTGTAAGTCTATGGAAGGGGGTGAGAACCATGAGCCTCCTAGGTTTTGAATTGAAGTCAATGTACTCAGAGGAGAACGGAAGCTAGCTGTCCTCTGGCTACACCATGGTGCTACCGTACAGAGTGCTGTTGAGGCTACTGTAGATCTTCTTTGCAAAATAGTGTGTTTTAATCAATTATTTGGTGACGTGATTATATTTAGTATAGTTTTATCTAAAAAGGATCACTTTTTAAATGTTTAAAAATATATATTTTTATGAAATTCACTGAGGAGGATGGTCCTCTCCTTCCTCCTCTGAGGAGCCTCCACTGCACTGTACATGTCACATACCTGGGTTCATCATAACCATGTGTGTACACCACCTAACAGTAATGCCCCAGAGCATTTATAGGCCGTTTTTCTTAACAACTCTTAAGGGATTTCCAGACAGGAAGCGATGGGACGGAGTAGAGTTCGCCCAAATAGAGCAGATTCCTATTTTCTCCGCCTCAGCTGAGCGGCTTTCACATGCACGAGCACCGCCGAACGCTCCGCCTGGATAGAATTCCGCCCCCCGCCTAGCTCCATTGAAAATTAATGCTAAACTCTGCTGCCGCTTCCTGTCTAAACACAATACCACAATATTACTTGATTTTCTGGTTTACCTTAAGATGTTTGGGGAAAATTGTCTCCCATCAAACATTTAGATAGTAGTTGCTCACCAAATGACTTGGAAATTACTCTGAATAACAAGAGAAAATTAAATAAATCTCATTGGATTACATCCAAGTTTCAATTATCTTTTGCAGCAAACTTGCTTTAAAACTGCAACATTTTCTCTCCGCTGTCAACAGAGGGGCTGCTAAAATGTTTTGCTCACAAGGTGGGAGGCCCAACAAAATTTCCCCCCAAAAGCTAGGGCCGGTTCTGACTGTATGTGTCGATATGGATGTGGATATAGAGACGGCGAGCCACTGCGACCCCTCATGAGTTCAGATATTTTGTGGCCTCCACCCCCATGAAAGTTGCCCATCCCTGACCTAAATAATAAGGATAAACAATACAAAACCAAAAAGGTTGATTGTTGTTAACATTTATTCATTTATCTTTCTTACACTAAGTACCCAGTTGTTATTTTCTAATATGTTTAAGACAACGTCACATTGCCTACATAATTATATTATCTTGGCAGAGTTGACTTGGCATGAATGGCATTTCAGATGTGCTCTCTTGTTTTTAAGAAAACCAGAAACCAAACTACTCTACAATTTGGCAAAATCTAACTTCAGAGTGCCGAATTATAAAGGGAATACAGATGTAGGATCTCCATTTGATTACCCTGTTGCAGGATAACTTTCTTGCAATGCAGGACATTGAAAACTTTATTTGAGGTGTTAAAAGTATTCTGAAGTTTATAATTTCCACTTAGAAATTTCAGACTTGATTTGCCCTTACGAAAAATTTATCAACCCCTACAAAAATGTCCATTAATTATAATCCACATAATAATTCAAATTTCCTGCTGTAGCAAACTGGCTCAAATTAATATCCTACATCTGTATGTCATACAATCGATCACATCTTATCAGAATAGAATTGAGTGAAGAACTAAAACTAGAACACTTTAACAATGTCGCAAATGGAACATAAAATAAATAAAATCCTTATTTGAAATAATTTTTGAATTTGGATGTCAATTTGAATTCTGCACGTTCCCTGGATTACAAACATAATTCTACCACTTCTAAGAAATAAAACATACAATCAAAATCATGAATTCTAAAAACACAAAAGATTTCTACTCCCTTTAATTCCCTCTTTCAAATGTTGCATCACAATTCATTTGAAGTCCCTTCTTTAATCATTTTGCACCTCCTCCTTCACCTTTGGTTCAAATGAGGATGAGGAGGCGTTTACTCAGTTCATATTACTTCTAAAAGGGAACCACTCAACCACTTTTCAGGAAATAGCCAAATAGCCTAAATAAATGTGTCTAGAACTGGACACACAATATTTCTTTACCATCATGCAATGCACTTCTTAATAATGACCAAAATCTTACGTGTGCATGCTCTTAGTAGGTTATAACTATATCCCTAATTAATTATCTGTTACGTGCATAAAGATAGAACACTATATCTGACCAAATATAAAACACATTAATAAGGCTGCCATCTTTCTGTACGTCTTATCATATTGTAATTGTACGGTTGTGCAATTGTAACAAATAGTTTGCTCTGTGACAAATGTGTATGAAATTAAATGTCCTATATTTGTGCAGTGAGCCATCTTTGCCAGGTAACTCATTGTGTGATCCCATCAATGTTTGCAACCTTAACTGCCAAAATAAAGACAACACCAACATAAAGTGTCTTAATAGTGTGTTGGACCACCACGACCCAGAACAGCTTCAATGCACCTTGACATAGATTCTACAAGTGTCTGGAACTCTATCGGAGGGATACAACACAAGACACCATTCTTCCATGATAAATAATTGTCCAATTGGGTTGAGATCTGGCGACTGAGACGGCCATGGCATACAGTTTACATCATTTTCATGCTCTTCAAACCATTCAGTGACCACTCGTGCCCTGTGGATGGGGGCATTGTCATCCTATGGGGGCATAGCCATGGTAGCCAAAATAATTGCCTGCCCAGCATTTCATACATGGCCCTAAGCATGATTGGTTGTGAATGACCTGCTTTCAATATACAGTACCAGTCAAAAGTTTGGACACACCTACTCATTCAAGGGTTTTTCTTTATTTTTACTATTTTCTACATTGTAGAATAATAGTGAAGACATCAAAACTTTGAAATAACACATATGGAATCATATAGTAACCAATAAAGTGTTAAACAAATCAAAACATATTTTATATTTGAGATTCTTCAAAGTAGCCATCGTTTGCCTTGATGACAGCTTTGCACACTCTTGGCATTATTTCAACCAGCTTCATGAGGTAGTCACCTGGAATGCATTTCAATTAACAGGTGTGCCTTCTTAAAAGTTAATTTGTGGAATTTCTTTCCTTCTTAATGTGTTTGAGCCAATCAGTTGTGTTGTGACAAGGTAGGGGTGGTATACAGAAGATAGCCCTATTTGGTATAAGACCAAGTCCATATTATGGCAAGAACAGCTCAAATAAGCAAAGAGAAACGACAGTCTATCATTACTTTAAGACATAAAGGTCAGTCAATCCGGAAAATTTCAAGAACTTTTAAAGTTTCTTCCAAGTGCAGTCGCAAAAACCATCAAGCGCTATGATGAAACTGGCTCTCATGAGGACCGCCACAGGAAAGGAAGACCCAGAGTTACCTCTGCTGCAGAGGATAAGTTCATTAGAGTTAACTGCACCTCAGATTGCAGCCCAAATAAATCCTTCACAGAGTTCAAGTAACAGACACATCTCAACATCAACTTTTCAGAGGAGACTGCGTGAATCAGGCCTTCATGGTCGAATTGCTGCAAAGAAACCACTAGTAAAGGACACCAATAAGAAGAAGAGACTTGCTTGGGCCAAGAAACACGAGCAATGGACATTAGACTGGTGGAAATCTGTCCTTTGATATAATGAGTCCAAATTTGAGATTTTTGGTTCCAACCGCCGTGTCTTTGTGAGACGCATAGTAGGTGAACGGATGATCTCCGCATGTGTGGTTCCCACCGTGAAGCATGGAGGAGGAGGTGTGATGGTGCTTTGCTGGTGACACTGTCGGTGATTCATTTAGAATTCAAGGCACACTTAACCAGCATGGCTACCACAGCATTCTGCAGCGATACGCCATCCCATCTGGTTTGCGCTTAGTGGGACTATCATTTGTTTTTCAACAGGACAATGACCCAAAACACACCTCCAGGCTGTGTAAGGGCTATTTGACCAAGGAGAGTGATGGAGTGCTGCGTCAGATGACCTGGCCTCCACAATCACCTGACCTCAACCCAATTGAGATGGTTTGGGATGAGTTGGTCCGCAGAGTGAAGGAAAAGTATCCAACAAGTGCTCAGCATATGTGGGAACTCCTTCAAGACTGTTGGAAAAGCATTCCTCATGAAGCTGGTTGAGAGAATGCCGAGAGAATGCCAAGAGTGTGCAAAGCTGTCATCAAGACAAAGGGTGGCTACTTTGAAGAATCTAAAATCTAAAATATGTTTTGATTTGTTTAACACTTCTTTGGTTACTACATGATTCCATATGTGTTATTTCGCTCTGGTTAAGAGCGTCTGCTAAATGACTAAAATGTAAATGTAAAAAAATTTCATAGTTTATGTCTTCACTATTATTCTACGATGTAGAAAATAATAAACTTTTGACTGGTGCTGTACTTTGTATCCCTAATTTCCTCAAGTGTTTGCATTGTGGCAGTTATCTGTATGTCCATGTGACAAGGGAAGAGAATATGGCTTAATAGTGAACTGTTTTGGTAGGAATCCTTAAGTTTGTGCTAGTTAACGCCAGTCAAACACTATTCAACTGTCATGCAGACAAATATTAATATTTGTGATAATATTGTAATAATATTGAGGAAATGGTGTTTCAAATACCCAATTTGCTGTGTTTACTCTTTTCTGATATTCAAAATGAGGTATGGAGGTCTTGTAAAATAACAGAACAATATAAAGTGCAATAAATGAGAAGAAAACATGTCATACTTGGCATTTGAAGAAAAGTGGTTGGGTGATTCATTAGCAAAAGCAAAAACAACAAAATGAGGCACCTGTTGAACACAGTCGTCACAACATTTTCAAGAGGTGGATTAAAATGTATTGATTGCGCTAGGCAGGCATTAGAAGACAAAACGTCTGAATGCAAGAACGAAGTGATAGATAGCCATAGCCATACCCTGCCCCCGTCTTTCACCTAATATAGAAAAGCCATAAAAAAAGACATCTGCTTTATGTCAAGTTCAGATAAAACAAAAGCATGAAAATACTGATGCGTCACACCAATCTACTTGAAATTTGCAATTCGGCACTGTTCAAGGTTAGCTTACTGCGGAGCACAAACGTGTTTTGAGTGGTGATGTGTCTATACAAGACACTGCTTTTAGTGGGAATGAAGTGCACTAAGTGAGTTCTTGCTACTAGGACAAAGCTTAGGCCAATCATCAATAGCAAGTCATTAATTGCAAGTGCACAGCACTGGCTGCAGATATAATCAGCAACATACATTCTCTACAACTTAAAGCCTTTGAGGTTTCTACAATGTTTCAGTCTTAGGCTGTGTTTACACAGGCAGGCCAATTATGATATTTTTCCAAAATTATGATATTTTTCCAATAATCAGTTCAACTCTTTTGCCAATAATGCTCTTTTGCCAATAATTGGGGAAAAGATCAGAATTGGGCTGCCTGTGTAAACGCAGCCTTAGAGACAAGTCTTTAAAACACTTTAAAATCATCGATTTGCACATTGGTTACAACCCTGAAGTCAAGGAGGGACATTTTCTCTCTCCATATATTTTTATACATTTTACATTATGAACATGTGAATACGTTGCATGCAATTTCTTTAAACAGTTGAAGATGCGAGAGGTTGTGTACCAAACCATTTTTACATTGTCCCCATGTAAACGTTGATCCTTGTTTGACCTGAACAAAAGACCCACATCTTTTGTAACCTATTGTCTTCTCAGATTCTGATAGAAATAGAATGAGAACATATGGTCCTGATGGTTTCAGATACATAGTAATTAACAATCTACACATGTCAAGGACTTACATGAGGCAAAGCACAAGCGAGAGTGTAAACTAAGATGTAATATGTGGCTACAATTAAGCAAAATATGAAAAGATAGCACAGGAGCGCAAATTCGAAACAGCGTAAGTACAACTACTTTAACAGAAAAAGTCAGTGGGCACCAGGGCACGTTGCCGTGGGTTTCCCGCTCTGGTGGAGCAGGGGGGTAAGTGTAGAAGCCACCCTGTGACCTGATGTCTTGGAAACAGAGCCACAGAAACAACCTTCCCTGAGGAAGACAAAAAAAATCCTGTGGATTACGGAACAGATGAAGATTTCTTTCCATCGATTGTTGTTTGAAGTAAATGTACATCTTCAACAACAGGTGACTGGCTTCGCCACAAATATGTAACATTACCATGGTCACAATGGTACACAGTATTGCTTGCTATTAAATTCATGCTTTGTGCTGAGCGATTAACCATAACTTCAGTTATTTTTTCTTTTTCTAAATAACGAATTTACCGATGGTAAAATTATTTGAATTCCATTTTGTTCGTTTTTGTTCTGTGAGCTCAAATGTGCACATTGCAACGTTTCTCTAGAGATAAATCAGATCAAGCCTAAACTGTGCGATATAGTAGGGAGTTGCAGTTTCCAACAGGCCAATATTCTACATTGTTTAGCGCAAAAAACTGGGTAATTAACTACTATGACCATAATCCATTGCACGCCTACTTGTCCCGCCTGTGTTTCTTTTACGCCTGCTACGTTAGGTTAGTGTGGGGCAGAGAGAGAGAGAAGAATGCGCAATCAAGAGATAGAGATCAGTTGCTTCACAAGTGGCTTTATCTCTACCTGAAAATACATTATCTAAGTGATTGATAGTTGGTATTTAGCAGTCATAAAAGTATGCCTTATTTACTTTGAAGAACTACTAAAATAGTAATTTTGTCAGACAGCATAGGCAGCAGCTCTATAGAAATGTGGGATTACTTGGAATTAAATCATTAAGCCATCAAATAAAACAAATGTAATATACACAACTGAAATATTGTATTAAAGTAAAGTAATGTGAATAAATGATGGTTAATAAATTATAAGCAGTAATGGGTAGTCAGTACCATCATGGGACTTTTAATTTTTTTATTCTGTGTTACAGCATTCAACCCACAATGCATAAAACATTTAAAAAATATATATATAATCTAAACCGAAAACCGTGACTATTTTTTCATAATCAAACCGAAACTAAACAGGTCCTCAAAAAGCACTAATCGCTCAGCACTACAAGCTGCAGACATCTACAAGAGACAAAGCACAATCAAAATGGGAAGACGCTACGATACTTAAGGAATCTTAAACAGTGTTTGCCTCCCAAAAGATATCTGTAGAAAGGCAAAGAGCAATCCTGCAAACACCAGTAAATCGCCAAAGTCTATACAACCCTGCACCTCAACCCCCCACCCCATCTTCCCTCATCCATCCATCCCTCCCTTATTTGAATGGCCCCTCCCTTCAATATTTTATGTTCCGACATAGTATTCTGTTAGGCATGGCCATATGAGAAGAAACAATATTCCCGATGTCCAATCAGATGCTCCACATCCATTTGACTCATCCGGAGCTCAAACAAGACATATAAAACAAACCAGAAAGTGTGTTTCATCAATGTGGTATTTCTCTACTTCCCATAACACTTGAGAGAACCCAGCCTCCACAATCAGCACGAGGGCGATTATCTTTAGACTTGTGTCAGGAATGGTCCTTCCAGGGCACACAGATAGGGTGTGGAAAAACCCAAGAGGGACCACTGTGATATGTCATTGTCACACAGCTTGTGTTAGTCATCAAGTAGAGGTCTGCAGACTCTTGTGATTCAGGAGTAAATTGCACGATTGTGTTCTGAATCTGTGGTTCTTTATAAAAACAAAAAGGGCTACCAATGTAACAATACCTTTTTCAAACATTATTTGAGAGTGTTTTTGAAGAGGTATTTATGTTGAGTGAAAAAGAAAAATACTGTCTAGTGAGGACTGTAAATAGTGAATTGCATGAAGAAGGTAAAGAAGATGAATATCAGGTTCTTTCCATCAGTACAGAGATTCATATTCAGAGGTAAGCAAAATAAAGGTATTATCTCTGCTACTGACTCCAGCAGTATCTTTCTCCCTTTACCCCGGGCACATAAGCCCTTTGAAAGTGAGCCACTGCTAGTAGCACAGGAAAAAAGATAAGTTGTGATTCACATTCGACTTGAGACAACGCCTCTGCCACTGAAAGATACAATTCTTACAAATCAGTGTAATGTTTATTAAAGTTGCAGTCCACAAAAGCCTAGATTCTGGCCTCTGGTGTAGCAAATAACCTTGATGTGAAATAAAGCACAAAGAGACCAGTTTGATATTCCAAAAATGTAGAAAAGTATATTGAGAAAAATAAAAAGAGCACTTCATTGCTTGTTGTGAGCGACACTGTCCCATGCTGTACAGAATGTACACTGGCGATACATATTAACCACTACTACCAGCGAGATCCAATCCCAAATGACTACAAAGTATTTACCTTGTTGACACATCTAAGAAATAAAATAAAAATGGTAAAAATTAAGAAACATACAGCAGTCAGCAAAACGGTACCTTCAAATCAGCAACATGAAAAAATGCCTCTGATTCCCAACTTATAAGGTACTTAAAGTGAACTCAAATGTATGAATTCGAATTCCGGTGACCATCCTGCTACTGATATGGCTATTTGTGAGATATGGACTGAAGATCGACTTTTCGATTCCAATTCTCATTTTTTTGCTTCAAATCTTCCCATTCCCATTGGCTCAGGACTTTTTCCCGGTGTGTGTTCGTAGGTGCGCCTGTAACCGGGATGCCTGGGAGAAGCGTTTCCCGCACTCCGAGCAGCAAATCGCTGGCGTCGTCGCCAGTGCTGTGGTGATATGAGTCTGCTGGTGAGCTTTCAGGAGCAGCGCCCGGCTGAACTTCTTGCCGCATTCTTTACACTCGTGAGCCTTCCTGCCTTTGAGAGGCACGGTCTTCACCTTTGAGTCCAGCGTCGTCGTCCCTTTGTCTTCCTTCTCTTCATCTTCCTCCTCCTCCTCCTCCTCCTGTGAAACAGCAACCTTTTTCTTGGGAGGAGATGGGCAGCTCTGGTTAGGCGATTCTGTGTTTTGCCGGCGCACAGCTGCTCTGCCAGGTGAAGTTTCGGGGAGCAGGGGGATGGTTTCCATGGTGTTCTCGTCCTCGTCTTCCTCTAGGAGCTGAGCGGGGAGTGTGAGGAGCCGGTGAAGCATCGACGGAGACCTGAGGGACTCTTCAACTGAAAACACAGACGGGGGGATAGAAATAAAAGCGGAAAGAGAATGAGTGAAATGAAGATGAAAGGCAATAAAGGCTGACAGAGTTTCCAATAATAGTGGAAGGAAATCAAATTGTTCCAGGAGGATGTGACAAGGAAGCTACAGCCATCTTGTTTTGTACTAGACTCAGAGAATACACATTAAGGAGAACACATACCTGAATATAATACAAAATTAAGCATAAAGAGTCCTGGGACTTAAGAGTAAGTGTGTCACGTAGGGACATCAGTTCAGTAGTTCCCATGCTCACCTGTGGCTGTGGTGCTTAAGGTAGCAGGAGGGTCTTGCGGAGTGTCCAAGGTCGAGGAGAGGACCTCCATGTCCTCTAGAGGCATCCACTGGGGGTCCTGCAGGAGGCTGGTGGGGGAGGGCTCCAGGTTCTCACGGATCAGGGCGTTCAGACTGGGGAAGGAGCTCACAATCCCCAACCCAGATCCCCCGGTCCTCTCCTCGCCCTCCTTCCCTGAAGCCAGCTCTTTGAACTGCCACAGGTCGCTGCACCACTTCTGCCCAAAAACCTTGTCCAGGATGGGGACCCAGTCTTGGGCTACGGTCAAGACAGCCTGCTTGTCACTGTCTACACACAGAGAGGGAGAGAGCGACAAAACTGAGAACAAGACAAACCTGAACTGGAAAACAAGCACAATTCATACAGGCTGTGGTCAGGACAGATTTCTTGTCACTGTCTGCACAGAGAGAGGGAGAAAAAAAGAGCAAGAGAGAGACAAAGAAAGAGATGAAACAAACTTGAGAACAAGACAACTGAACTGGAATAAAAGTGCAAAACGTATCCATGATGTGGATACGAACACTGAAAAACATTTATAAAAAACAGCAGGCATGCACGTTTGTGTTCGTACATCAATGCACCTGAAGAAGCAGGTAACACATTCAGTGATTATTTCCATCATTATAGCAGTCATTTCTAATGCAGTACATTTTAATATTGATCCATTTTACAACAATGTTTACATTAAGAGACCCAAGGCAATATACAGTGGGGAAAAAAAGTATTTAGTCAGCCACCAATTGTGCAAGGTTCTCCCACTTAAAAGATGAGAGAGGCCTGTAATTTTCATCATAGGTACACGTCAACTATGACAGACAAATTGAGAAAAGAAAATCCAGAAAATCACATTGTAGGATTTTTTATGAATTTATTTGCAAATTATGGTGGAAAATAAGTATTTGGTCACCTACAAACAAGCAAGATTTCTGGCTCTCACAGACCTGTAACTTCTTCTTTAAGAGGCTCCTCTGTCCTCCACTCGTTTCCTGTATTAATGGCACCTGTTTGAACTTGTTATCAGTATAAAAGACACCTGTCCACAACCTCAAACAGTCACACTCCAAACTCCACTATGGCCAAGACCAAAGAGCTGTCAAAAGACACCAGAAACAAAATTGTAGACCTGCACCAGGCTCGGAAGACTGAATCTGCAATAGGTAAGCGGCTTGGTTTGAAGAAATCAACTGTGGGAGCAATTATTAGGAAATGGAAGACATACAAGACCACTGACAATCTCCCTCGATCTGGGGCTCCACGCAAGATCTCACCCCGTGGGGTCAAAATGATCACAAGAACGGTGAGCAAAAATCCCAGAACTACACGGGGGGACCTAGTGAATGACCTGCAGAGAGCTGGGACCAAAATAACAAAGCCTACCATCAGTAACACACCATGCCGCCATGGACTCAAATCCTGCAGTGCAAGACGTGTCCCCCTGCTTAAGCCAGTACATGTCCAGGCCCGTCTGAAGTTTGCTAGAGTGCATTTGGATGATCTAGAAGAGTATTGGGAGAATGTCATATGGTCAGATTAAACCAAAATAGAACTTTTTGGTAAAAACTCAACTCGTCGTGTTTGGAGGACAAAGAATGCTGAGTTGCATCCAAAGAACACCATACCTACTGTGAAGCATGGGGGTGGAAACATCATGCTTTGGGGCTGTTTTTCTGCAAAGGGACCAGGACGACTGATCCGTGTAAAGGAAAGAATGAATGAGGCCATGTATCGTGAGATTTTGAGTGAAAACCTCCTTCCATCAGCAAGGGCATTGAAGATGAAACGTGGCTGGGTCTTTCAGCATGACAATGATCCCAAACACACCGCCTGGGCAACGAAGGAGTGGCTTCGTAAGAAGCATTTCAAGGTCCTGGAGTGGCCTAGCCAGTCTCCAGATCTCAACCCATAGAAAATCTTTGGAGGCAGTTGAAAGTCCGTGTTGCCCAGCGACAGCCCCAAAACATCACTGCTCTAGAGGAGATCTGCATGGAGGAATGGGCCAAAATACCAGCCACAGTGTGTGAAAACCTTGTGAAGACTTACAGAAAACGTTTGACATGTGTCATTGCCAACAAAGTGTAACAAAGTATTGAGAACCTTTTGTTATTGACCAAATACTTATTTTCCACCATAATTTGTAAATAAATTCATAAAAAATCCTACAATGTGATTTTCTGGATTTTTTTTTCTCATTTTGTCTGTCATAGTTGACGTGTACCTATGATGAAAATTACAGGCCTCTCTCATCTTTTTAAGTGGGAGAACATGCACAATTGGTGGCTGACTAAATACTTTTTTCCCCCACTGTACACATAGGAAGTGGAATAAGGAATACCTGGGATAGTATAAAAGTAATCCTTCTACCCCACCCCCAAAAAAAAAAAATATAATATATATATATAAAACAAATGAACATTACAAATATACTCTAAAAATAAAACATTAAAAGATTTGAAAAATATAAAAGAATAAATTGTAAAGCGGTTGTCCCACTAGCTATCATAAGGTGAATGCACCAATTTGTAAGTCGCTCTGGATAAGAGCGTCTGCTAAATGACGTAAATGTAAATGTAAGTATTTGTTTGCTTATAGTGAATCAGCTTAATAATATCTAAGCAGTATTACCAGCACAAGTATAAGACTGGACTCAGAGTAGAGGGAAACCTATATCTACTGTACATGGCATACCTAACATGGCATGATGTCATATACACAATAACAGATTGCAGGAGCTTAACTGGAGCAACTATTTGGCACTGACACGGTTAATAGTTAACTATAACAGGTGAGCTTCAGCTCCCATTTTGACAGCTACTGAATAGGTCAATTGACCAGTTCAACTGATTCAGAGACTGGTGTTGTGTGCAAGTTATGGCTTATAACATGGTTATTGAACACATTAACATTTTTATTTAGAAAATGTGGCCTCAGAGCTCTGGTTAGTCCATATTGACTCCTATTCATACTGTTTTGTGTGTGTGTTTTTACAGTCTGACTACTTGGACACAAGCTTATTTTCAGCACCAGAAATGAAGGGAACACTTTGTTTGTTTCAACTGATATTTGCCAAGTGTTTACTCAGACAGAACATGGTAATTATGTGTACTTTCTGGCAATTCAAAGAATTTAACACAATTGGTAACCAACTGGTATGTACCGGCGCTTTTTTCAATGTAGAATGACTCCCAAAATAACCTTCATTATTAGGTCATTACCAATTTATCAATCAAGCAAAATAGCAGCTCTTAAAATAAAGTGTACCCAAGATTTACAATAACCTTGTATTCAGCTTAATATGTTGGGTAAATCCATTCGAATTCAATCACTTTTTGACAGTATCCCTTTTAATTTAAACAAAACAAGTGGTCAGAAAGTAACTTTTTGGACCTGAATGCCAAAGCATTCAGGAGAGAAAGGTGCTCAAAGTTGACCCATTTTGTATACCATGTCTTCATTACTGGAAAAGATAAATGGTTGAGTTTGATATAATTTAAAAGCTTACAAAAACAGGGTTGTCAACCTATTTTACAATTTCTTGAAAACAAAATGTCTAAAGAAATATAAAACTTTTTTTTAAACGTGTACCTTTAACGTCAATTATCTAAAAACGTGTACTGATTTTTTTCTCCATATTAGCATGTGTTGTAGCTTAGACCCTACTTTACATCATGTGAGGGTTTTATGTTGTGCCCGCCATCAAACATGCTCTTAAAATACAGGTTGGGTGAAAATGTTTATCATAGAAATAGAAATTTCCCTTCAGATCACTGCAATTTAGCTGCTACACCATCCACTGTCGAATGTCAACTTAAATGGTCATGTATATTCTATTATCTATATTTCTATGATTTCAATAGGTTTCCTATGAAGGATTGACAGTATAATTGAAAACAGATATTCGCATTCAAGTCAACATTCTCTGATGTGTGGACCTCCAACCGTCTTTGTGGTACCATTTCAATGTAGAAATTTCAATTGTATTCCCGTTTTAGTACATTTATCAGCTAAAACATGACACCCACGCTGTATTCAAAAGCTTGTTGTGTCTCAACCGATGGCGGGCATACTACAAAACCCCCAGATTATGTAAAATAGGGTTTAAGATAAAACACGCAAATATGAAAGAAAAAAAACGACTTAACGTATTTTTTGATAATTAACGTTTATGGTTAAAAAAAGGGGGGAAAAGGAAATGATCAAATTGTTTGTCATTTAAAAGCTTCTGTTTGTAAGCTTTTAAATGATACTCAACTGTTTATCTTTTCCAGTGATGAAGACATGGATGTCTCATGGTATTTTCTGAGCACATCTACAACGGGCAAATATGTATGGAAGGTTTCGCTCAAATCAAAAGGGGTGCTGTCAAAAAGTGATTGAATTCAAGTGGATTTACCCTGTGGCATTGCGAGTTGCAACTTGAAACCATATGAACAGGAAGTTACTGGCCTCTCATGAGTAATTGAATGTATAGGCAGAGGAGGTGCCGAACCCTGGCTGTACTATGTGGTACTTTCCAACCCTACATTTTCCATAAAGCATAACATCTGGTGCTGTGGGATTTGACTGGTATCATAGCAAGCATCCCCCTTTTCTCTGTGTGTGTGTGTGTGTGTGTGTGTGTGTGTGTCACATTTAGGACTGTAAATAAAGCACACAGTTTATTGTCATGTTGACTAGAACATAATTTTACTGTTAAAACACAGACCATTTGTTGTCTCCGTTTGCTCCCTTTGTCCCCGGACAATTTTGACTGTGACGTTTCTGGATTCCTGCCGGGTGTCCTCTGAGCCACTGGGGAATGCTGTGTTGTTTTCCGACCCACTCCTCCTCGACACCCCGCCCCTCCCGTTCTCCCGGTGAGCCACACGGCGCAACTGCTCCTCCAGAGCGCTGTGCTCCCACTCTTTCTTGGTCATCTCCAGGAGCAGGTCATCGAAACTGGCCTCCACGATTTTGGTCAGCTCGCACACAGCAAACTCCAGCACATGCTCCATGACCATCTTTAGCTGACCTGCAGAGGAGGAGGACACGGAGACAAAATAGTTATCAGAATTAGCCTGCTGTCTTTAATGATAAAGAAATAGATATGTAAAAACCTGTTGTGAGTTAAGAGGAAATAATTAGGCATAGGTCAATGGCTGCTATGTTCACAGATAAATAGTGTTACATTTGAAAGCTGTATACATACATACAGTGGCTTGCGAAAGTATTCACCCCCCTTGGCATTTTTCCTATTTTGTTGCCTTACAACCTGGAATTAAAACTGATTTATGGGGGTTTGTATCATTTGATTTACACAACATGCCTTCCACTTTGAAGATGCAAACAATTTTTTCTTGTGAAACAAACAAGAAATAAGACCAAAAAAAAGAAAACTTGAGCGTGCATAACTATTCACCCCCCCAAAGTCAATACTTTGTAGAGCCACCTTTTGCTGTAATTACAGCTGCAAGTCTCTTGGGGTATGTCTCTATAAGCTTGGCACATCTAGCCACTGGGATTTTTGCCCATTCTTCAAGGCAAAACTGCCTCAGCTCCTTCAAGTTTGATGGGTTCTGCTGGTGTACAGCAATCTTTAAGTCATACCACAGATTCTCAATTGGATTGAGGTCTGGGCTTTGACTAGGCCATTCGAAGACATTTTAAAATGTTTCCCCTTAAACCACTCAAGTGTTGCTTTAGCAGTATGCTTAAGGTCATTGTCCTGCTGGAAGGTGAACCTCCGTCCCAGTCTCAAATCTCTGGAAGACTGAAACAGGTTTCCCTCAAGAATATCCCTGTATTTAGCACCATCTATCATTCCTTCAATTCTGACCAGTTTCCCAGTCCCTGCCGATGAAAAACATCCACACAGCATGATGCTGCCACCACCATGCTTCACTGTGGGGATGGTGTTCTCAGGGTGATGAGCGGTGTTGGGTTTGCGCCAGACATAGCGTATTCCTTGATGGCCAAAAAGCTAAATTTTAATCTCATCTGACCAGAGTACCGTCTTCCATATGTTTGGGGAGTCTCCCACATGGCTTTTGGCGAACACCAAACGTGTTTGCTTATTTTTTTCTTTAAGCAATGGCTTTTTTCTGGCCACTCTTCCGTAAAGCCCAGCTCTGTGGAGTGTATGGTTTAAAGTGGTCCTATGGACAGATACTCCAATCTCTACTGTAGAGCTTTACAGCTCCTTCAGGGTTATATTTGGTCTCTTTGTTGCCTCTCTGATTAATGCCCTCCTTGCCTGGTCCGTGAGTTTTGGTGGGTGGCCCTCTCTTGGCAGGTTTGTTGTGGTGCCATATTATTTCAATTTTATGAATAATGGGTTTAAAATGGTGCTCCGTGGGATGTTCAAAGCTTCTGATAAAAAAATTTAGAACCCATCTCTGATCTGTACTTCTCCACAACTTTGTCCCTGACCTGTTTGGAGAGCTCCTTGGTCTTCATGGTGCCGCTTGCTTGGTGGTGCCCCTTGCTTAGTGGTGTTGCAGACTCTGGGGCCTTTCAGAACAGGTGTATATATACTGAGCTCATGTGACACTTAGATTGCACACAGGTGGACTAACTAATTATGTGACTTCTGAAGGAAATTGGTTGCACCAGATCTTTTTTAGGGACTTCATAGCAAAGGGGGTGAATACATATCCACGCACCACTTTTCCGTTATTTATTTTTTAGAATCTTTTGAAACAAGTTATTTTTTCATTTCACTTCACCATTTTGGACTATTTTGTGTATGTCCATTACATGACATCCAAATGAAAATCAATTTAAATTACAGGTTGCAATGCAACAAAATAGGAAAAACGCCAAGGGGGATGAATACTTTTGCAAAGCACTAATATATATATATATATATATATATATATATATATATATATATATATATATATATATATATATATATATATATATATATATATATATATATATATATGACATGTTGCGTTCAATGCTCTCATTCTAGGATATTTGTTTAACACAGTAGGCCAAAACAACCCTGTATCCTTGCAGGGAAATTTCTCTCCAAACCACTCTTTTTACTATGATAATGAGTAGGGCTGCAATTATTTGTGTAGAGGTTTTAATCAAATAACACAAAAATGCATTGCGCAATGAAATCACAAGCCACACCATTTCCATTTGGTTTGGATAAAATGGTGTCTCATCCATTTAAAATGGTAAAGGTCCATTTTAGGCTCAGCCATTAGAAAAACAACAGCCATTGAGTCCATCCCTGCTTTACACAAATTAGCCTTGAGAGCCCTTGCTTGTACAGCATTGTTATTATAAGCATTTCTCTAGCCTACATATTGCATATGTTACACACACAGTTCCCCTTTTTTTGGGGGGGGGGGGGGGGGCAAAACACTAAGAAAAACATTGTCAACCCATAATGAGTTTTACTAGGCATCCTTTGAGATTAACCACTTTTTAAGCAACCAGCAATGGGCATTAATTTTGCGCCCGTGCAATTCAACGACTCAAAAGTTACAGATTTCAGCCATATTAAATGGCTCTTGATTGAATTGTTGTAGCACTGCCAGACAAAGTGAAAATCACTTGATTGATAACAACCATGAGACCCAGAAAAGGCATGTGTCTAGGGGACAGATTTGAGCTTTCCTTATAAATGCCAATTTCTCCATTTTCGATTGGTTGCTGTTACAAATACACCAATCAAAACAGTTTAAATGTGAGGTAGGTTTGATTGGGCATTGCATCCATGGTGGCAATGACAATAAATTAGTTATATTCAATATGAGTGAATTACTATAATCAAATATCCTACTTTTATAGAGCAGTAAAATATTGAAGGGAATCCTTTTTAATACCATGAGAAGGCTTCATTTCTCAGATAGCTCGGTCACGTCCCCCTTTGCAATATGTATAATTTGGGAGTGGTGAACATTTCCCTGAAGTAATCGAGGAAGTTCTCACAGATCCCATAATGGTTTTGAGCTAAATCAATTACCAAAATTGATATTTTCCAACAACTCCAATCACAGAGAAAAGTATAAGCTTTTCATTGCATACACTGTAGTGCAAATATCTCCATGATGATATCTGACAAATGAGCTAGGCTACTCTTTCCAAGAATTAACAGCTGTGTAGTACAAGGGCCTAGCCAATATGCAGAATCATACAATGACCCACACCATGACTCTCACCCTTTGTTCTTAACCACAAGTTGTAAATGTAAAACAAGTTGTGCAAAACATGGTGAGAAAACATTTTACATATCTATCACCACACATAGATGTTGTTATGTCTTAGTTACAGATAAAGCTGAGAATAAACTGAACTACTTAGTCATTGATCACGGTTTCATGCACACAATAATAAGATTGTGGATAGTCAGATTAATTGAATAGTTTGTTTAAAAGATGCACTATGCAGAAATTGCTCTGCCATTTCCTGGGTGCTAAAATCCTAATAGTTTGCCTAATTTCAGGTTATGTGACAAAACAAGCAACCATAGCGTAGAGAATAATTGTACCATCTAAACTGCTGTGAAATATATTTTCCATAACTCAAAAATATTGTATTTTCAACTGCTTGAAGCTGATGTACAAAACCGAAAGTAAAAGATGCAAAAACTAAACTTAAGAATGGGAAGCATAGAAATAACTCACATAGAACAGATCTACCACTTCTTAGACTTGCTTTCAATGAGTGACAGATCTATAACTCATATTTCTATGTGAATTTGGTCAGGACGCCCCCCAAAAAAGTTACATATTGCAGCTTTAAAATGTTTACATGCTTTGCAAGAAGAACAAATTAACTAATAATCCTGTAGAAAGAGGAGGAAGGGAAGAGCTACTAAGGTACACAATAGTAAATGTTGGTAGACAGAAGGTGCTCTTTGGTCAAAGGGGTGAATTGGTCATCAAAAAGAAAGGAGGACCAAGGCACTCTTCATATAATTAGTTAAAATGCCTTTATTAGTATGTTCAATAGAAACAAGGTTTAAAAAAAAAAAATCTGACGCGTTTCGGCTGCATGGTCTTCATCAGGGAGTATTGACATGCCATACTAATAAAGGCATTTTAATTAATTAATTATATGAAGAGTGCCTTGGTCATCCTTTCTTTTTGATAACTAATAATCCTATTTACATGGAAACATCTGAAATCAGGCTTCTGATGGGACTTTTGATAAATGCTGAAAATCACCAATCAAAATAACCGTTCTACCACAGTGACCATGTTATTTTTGCGAAGACTATTTTGTTCTGAGTTTGGAAATAGAAATAGTTTTCACACAAACTTTATAAGATGCATACTTTCAGTTCTTCAAAACTCAATTCACTCGCGCATAAAAAGGAGGCTTGCGCTACCGGTGCTGGCAAATGTGTAGACCAAATACACTGCTGGAACGCCGATTAAGCCGTTTACATGTCCTAAATAATCGAAAGACTGCTCAGAAAACCAGGTGTTTTAATCAGCGTATGCTTACATCGATTATGACCGTACACCGATCAAGATAAGTAGAGTAAGGTGTTTACATGATTAATGCCATACTCAGCCTTCTGCCATAATCAGTTTAATATAAAATGATTAGTATGCATGTAAACGTACTCAATGATGTGATTTGACTAAAATAGGAGTGGGTTGGCAACCGCTTTAAAGCTGTGGTGAGCAGCAGAGCACCAAGCTGCTGCAGACAATGACAGCATAGGCATAGTTGGTTTCTGGCAACCTTGGATCATCTTGAATGCCGCTTGACAAAGCAAACAGGGTTTTACACACACACCGGGTTTGTTTTACAAACACACACACAGATTTACGTAACTACAAAAGACAGAATGGATTACATGTCCAAATCCCTGAGGAAGAAAACAAATCAAGTTGGAAATCAAGTGTGAAAACTGTGTGAGGAGATTTTGTGGAGCATGGTCTCTACAATTGCCCCTTTTGTTAAAACCAAAGGATATAAATAGCAATTGAGCGGAGTCAGCGAGGAAGCCTACTAGCCTAATTGTTGTGTTGCATTGTGTAAGTGTGACATCATGCACTGTATGAGGAGCTACCTGTGTGGGTGTCTGTGACTGAAGTATGAATGTTGCTGCCAGGATTAATTTACCTACAACATCAAAATGGCCTCCCTGGCCATTGCAACCTAAATAAGATCCATGGCCATATGCTAAGTGAAGAGGTACAGCTCCAGCCTCAGCTTTGTCCTAAATGTGCAAATTGAGTTGAAGGCCTGCCAATGACAGTTTGCCCAGTGTCTCCTCCTCCCTCCTTTGATATCGCACACCCCTCCTCTCCCTAAATGTATCCCCTCTAAGAACTGAGTGGGTGTGGTTTGCGCTTGTGACTCTCATTGGAGGATTATTGGAGGGAATGGCATCCTTTCCTTTGCTGCCAGCACTAAGGAGAGGCTCAACAACAACCACTGATAGTCCTCTCATCCCAAATCATCTTCAATTACAGAGAATAATGTTTGATGGGATGTATGCTGCAGTGGTCAATAAGTAGGCCTATCATTTTCAATGATAGGAAAAATGAATGGGGATGGATGTGCTGCCTTTCAGTTCACAGTTTGCTTGACACAACCGGTGACAAGGTTGGTGATGTTGTCACTGGTTGTCAATCCACAACTGAACATTTTAACAATCTCAATGGCAACAATGGCACCACAGATGACAAATTGGCCTCTTGACACTTAATTACCGATCACTGCACCTGTACACAGCCCATCTGAAATTAGCCCACCCAACTACCTCATCCCTATATTGTTATTTATTTTGCTCTTTTGCACCCCAGTATCTCTATTTGCACATCTAGCATTCCAGTGTTAATACTAATTGTAATTATTTTGCACTATAGCCTATTTATTGCCTTACCTCCATAACTTGCTACATTTGCACACACTGTATATATATTTTCTGTTGTATTTTTTTGACTTTATGTTTTTTTACCCCATATGTAACTCTGTGTTGTTGTTTTTATCACAATGCTTTGCTTTATCTTGGCCAGGTCGCAGTTGTAAATGAGAACTTGTTCTCAACTGACTTACCTGGTTAAATAAAGGTGAAATAAATAAAAAATAAAATATTGTTAAGTGTACACCTCTTGAGACAAGATACCATTGTAAGCGTTCACAAGGACGCATGCCTGAGTCAAATAGAAACCTAGGTAATAGAACCACATTGAAAACTACCGTTTTTCATTTCCTGAAGATTTTACCACACATGTCATTGATTTTCAGTGTGCTGCAGGCTACTACTGCACGTCATATTTACATATCAACTCTGGTTATTATTATCAATACTTTCTGCTCTATGCGGATACCTATACCAGGATACTGGTGCTTTGTCCTGTTTTTGTTGACCTCGCCACTATATGTAAACGGAGTGTGTTAATACGTTGTGCCACAGAAACATACACAAACAGTCGGCGATCAAACAGACTGTAGGGCTACAGAATGGTGGTATTGCCTTATTGTGTTTCAAATGTATAAGATGAAACCTCTAGGTGCCTTGGTAGTAACCTTGCCTAGCTAGTAACCTTACCCACTACTCGTCCTTTTTGATCCAGTCTTTGAGTGTTTGCGTGCACGCCGCGCTCTGTGCTGTGGCTGAAGGTGTGTGTCTCGGGCTTTGTTCGATCCGTTGCCGCGTTGTCTTCCCTGCCACCGTTGAACGCGGCTCCATTTTCTACCCCATTACATTCAAACTCCAGTGATTGAAGCCTTAACTTTAGTCTTTGGTTTTCTTGTTCTTTGACGGCCGTATTCATTAACATAGAATTCAAGCTTGACCCAACACTCTTCGTTATTTCCTGGACTGCGAGTTGTACTACTTGCTCTAGTGCAGATTCCAGCTGACCTTGAAAAAACGAAATATATACCGCGCCGTTCATGATTTCGTCCGTTTTGGTGGAAGACCTCTTTCATTCTTCCCCCCACACCCCAAAAATATAAAATAGAAGTCAGCACACAACTGATTTACACGGAGAACTAGCTACCTCTATCAACGCATCGTGTGTTCACCCCTTGGATGCTACCGTAGTATCACTACTGCAAACGCAATACGTTTCCAACCATGTCAATCATGGCTAATTGTGTTTCCAGTCGGGAGAGGGTATAGGGACTTCTTCTTCGTCGATGAGGTTTAACGGCGGTTGGCATCCAATTTGTTGCATTACCGCCACCTACTAGACTGGTGTACAACTCCCTTATATTTTGCTTGAAAAATAAAATAAAGAAATACCCGACCATCTAACACTACACTCACAAATTCAAAAGTATTATTAATAATTAACACCACCCCACTCCACTATTTAAATATATTCATTCCTACCTCATGCCCTCAACCTGAGATGATGGAACATTACATTTACATTTTAGTCATTTAGCAGACGCTCTTATCCAGAGCGACTTACAGTTAGTGAGTGCATACATCACCACTTAACACTCCCTGTAACTCTTCTGATGTCAAGTCTCGCACACCCAAATACCTCTCTGCAGCTGCCACCACAACCTCAATTTTCTTCGACTTACATTCCATCCCTGCAGTACAATTAATAACCATTGCTATAAATGCTAAAAATCCAATCTTACTGAAGCATATATCACTTGTTGGCCTATCCCTCTGTATTGGTACATCTCTACTACTCTCACCACTCCTCCCCCTTGACCCATCTTCCTCTACTTTCTTCACTATACTAAACTATAACACAGATATGCCTAATATATCTATAAACTAATAATTAACAGTTTAGTGAACTAATTATACATAATGTCTCTTGACCCGGTGTCTGGCCTCTCCTTCAGGAAATCCTCACATCAGCTAAAATGTTATTTTTTTATTTAATGTGTTGATGTCTGGTATGAGTGAACACTGTTTGCAGGTGGTTGGCCAATTTATTGAACTAGCACATTGTAGTCTCCATGCACGACTTAAGGTACTTAATGTACATATTACCACAACTAACAATGCCCTTTGAAATGTCCTTTGCAATGTCCTTTGTCTTTTGTGATGGCTGTTACATTTTATATAAAGTATTGAAATATAGGTCTTCCTTTGACTTAGAAATACTTGAAATAGCAATATATTTCATATTTACAGGGACTTTAAATATTGTTATTGTTTAAGCCTACCGTTTCTACCTCTAAGAACCAAATAGGCCTAGTAAATTTGGAAGACTGCTTTTTGTATAGGCCTACTGTCACAAAGTAAGCTGGTCCGGCCAGTCTGTAAGTAAACAAGCAACTTTCCAGCTTCAAAATATGTAAAATGTTTAATTTATATGCTTTTACAGATATATCATAGATGTTATGATAGATCACCTTTAACTTCTTTCCCTGTTCCTATGTCTAACACAATAACTCAATAATGCTTTAAGTCAGTGAAGAACATGTTGCTATTCACTTTTCATTATTAGATAAAGTTCAAATATTTGTATATTATTATTATATAATGTCTGCACTTAATGATTCCCTTTTTCTTATTTGAATTATAGATTCCTCATTACCATTAAAGGTTACATGGCATTTAATGTGAAACTATGGGGATTTTGTAATTAGCCTACTAAACGATCCGTGGTTGCGTTACATACGTGCGCGCCACTCCCCCTTGCAACTAAAACATATCGTGCTCTTTTCTATACACTACGGTAAAAAAATAACGACCATTCACAATACAACCGGAAAACGGGTCTAGGATCATGGTAGATCATTACGTTCCTTCGTCTTGGTTTCAATAGGATCTGGCTCCAGCAGATACCTTCTCACACCACAGACGCTGTGAGACATACTAGATGAGACAGGATGTCGAATGGTGCATGGGGTGGTGAATTACATTTAGAATTAGAAGCTAGTGTACGTACAGTTGTGGTCAAAAGTTTTGAGAATGACACAAATAATAATTTTCACAAAGTCCGCTGCCTCCGTTTTGATGATGGCAATTTGCATATACTCCAGAATGTCATGAAGAGTGATCAGATGAATTGAAATTAATTGCAAAGTCCCTCTTTGCCATGAACGTCTAACGTTACATTTTTGTAAAAAAAAAAAAAAATACTTCGATATAAACTGAATGATTCGGAACACTCCCAAGTTCCAACTTCGGCTGACAAGTTACACATTCTCGCTGAAGTTTCTAGCCACAAGCATAAACTAGAAGGGCTCATCAGAACTACTGACTGAGTTGAACCAAAGATGATGGATAGACTGACAAGATACATATATCTTCCGCCCTATCAATGGGAGTCGTTGTCCATAAAGCGGCACGGCGGGCTGTCTAGCTCCCGCCTATCCTTTCTTTGTAATCATTTTTGAATATTCGATAACGGTTGTTGACGTCAACCGCCTGTATTCAATGTAGAGAGATGCAATGCTACTAGCCTCATGTCATGAACATGCATAGCCATCTCGAGACAATTCCGATATAGTGTTTTTTTTCTTCTCAAAGCTGCCGGGATGTCACGTGTCCTACTTATATCAGTACACTCGTAACACCTTAAGCATTAAGAAACGTATATTCGATCAAATAAACCTCACGTAGCAAATAAGCCATTCATTTATTTGTTGACAAAATTCCACACTCTCATTGACCTCCATACAAAAACTCCGTGCTTGGTGGTTGAAACAACGAAAAAACGCCACCTGCTGAAGGGAGACAGATTTGCCGCCGAGTTGGGCCTCTCTCTTCATCTGACTGAACTGACTGAACGCAATGCGTTTGTCTCGGCTCTCCTGTCGCTGCGCGAGGCACGTCATCAATTTGGGCACCAGGCGTATCCATATAGCCTTTCCTTTTACGGTCGGCCACGTGTGCACGCCATTTTGCTTAAGTAGACTCAATAAATGTCAGTCAGAGAACCAATCGCTGTCATATACATCCCATGACATACATTTCCCACTACTGAAAATTGTAGTAGATTTTAAAAGATGTAAAAATATATATATATATACAAAATAAGGCTAGGTTACATAACACTTTACATTATGGTATACTTACAATAATGTAAAGGTGTGTTTAAGTAGTTTGTAAACTGTTAATAATTTATATATTATTAGTTTATATATCGTTTATAAATATGTAATAAACTATAACACAGATATGCCTAATATATCTATAAACTAATAATTAACAGTTTAGTGAACTAATATTATTTAACCAATTATCAACTACTTATGAACTGAATTAATTAATGAAATAAAGTTCAATCAATATAAAGCAACTCAATCAATATCATCGATCATACCTCAGACTACATTCCAGTCACTCAACTTCAAGTCTCCAACTATGAAATATTAACTATGACATTCACCATTACTAAAGATGACATGTATTTTAATTGTTGTTGTTGTTGTTGATCATAATAAAGTTATACATTTTTAACTATTAAAACTATTATTTTCACATTAACCCCTTCTTTTCTTCGCTTCTTCGCTTCACACACTGTATATATATTTTTTCTGTTGTATTTTTGACTTTGTTTTGTTTTACCCCATATGTAACTCTGTGTTGTTGTTTTTATCGCACTGCTTTGCTTTATCTTGGCCAGGTCGCAGTTGTAAATGAGAACTTGTTCTCAACTGGCTTACCTGGTTAAATAAAGGTTAAATAAAAAAAATTAAAAAATGTTTTACATTGTTTGCTTTGCTTGACCGGGGTTCCCCTTCAGCTTTGCCAAAAAAACATTTCCTAGAATGCATATAATGCATTGACACAACCAAACGAAACATAAATTGCTATGGTAGCTAAATGCACACTGCTGCTTTGTTATGACTTAGTGGGGTTTGGGAATCAGCTGTAAGGACTGTCTGCAATTTTATTAGAAATGTCTTAAACTGAGACTTATTCTGTAAGATCTGGGCAATTTAAAGCAGGGCTCCAATAAATAAACGTAATGTCTCTTGACCCGGTGTCTGGCCTCTCCTTCAGGAAATCCTCACATCAGCTAAAATGTTATTTTTTTATTTAATGTGTTGATGTCTGGTATGAGTGAACACTGTTTGCAGGTGGTTGGCCAATTTATTGAACTAGCACAATGTAGTCTCCATGCACGACTTAAGGTACCTAATGTACATATTACCACAACTAACAATGCCCTTTGAAATGTCCTTTGCAATGTCCTTTGTCTTTTGTGATGTCTGTTACATTTTATATAAAGTATTGAAATATAGGTCTTCCTTTGACTTAGAAATACTTGAAATAGCAATATATTTCACATTTACAGGGACTTTAAATATTGTTATTGTTTAAGCCTACCGTTTCTACCTCTGAGAACCAAATAGGCCTAGTACATTTGGAAGACTTCTTTTTGTATAGGCCTACTGTCACAAAGTAAGCTGGTCCGGCCAGTCTGTAAGTAAACAAGCAACTTTCCAGCTTCAAAATATGTAAAATGTTTAATTTATATGCTTTTACAGATATATCATAGATATTATGATAGATCACCTTTAACTTCTTTCCCTGTTCCTATGTCTAACACAATAACTCAATAATGCTTTAAGTCAGTGAAGAACATGTTGCTAGTCACTTTTCATTATTAGATAAAGTTCAAATATTTCTATATTATTATTATATAATGTCTGCACTTAATGATTCCCTTTTTCTTATTTGAATTGTAGATTCCTCATTACCATTAAAGGTTACATGGCATTTAATGTGAAACTATGGGGATTTTGTAATTAGATTACTAAACGATCCGTGGTTGCGTTACATAAGTGCGCGACACTCCCCCTTGCAACTAAAACATATCGCGCTCTTTTCTCTACACTACGGTAAAAAAAAAAACGACCATTCACAACACAACCGGAAAACGGGGCTAGGATCATGGTAGATCATTACGTTCCTTCGTCTTGGTTTCAATAGGATCTGGCTCCAGCAGATACCTTCTCACACCACAGACGCTGTGAGACATACTAGATGAGACAGGATGTCGAATGGTGCTGAATTACATTTAGAATTAGAAGCTAGTGTACAGTCGTGGTCAAAAGTTTTGGTCTTCACAAAGTTCGCTGCTTCAATGTTATGAGAT